TACACGTCACTGTTGATCTGATTTAATGAGCGGAGATCAGATTGTTATTTTATTTAAAGGTTTATTTTGGGGCTTTTTGTCTTCATTTTAGAGACAGGACAGCAGACAGATTCAGAAACCAGGGAGAGAGAGAGAGAGAGAGAGAGAGAGAGGAATGACATGTGGGGACAGGATTCAAACCTGTGCCGCCCGCCTGGAGGACTTTAGCCTCCGTACATGAGGCGCATGCAGAAACGATCATAATTAAAAAATGCATCGTCATCATTCTGATTTCAGAAGTGTTTTAAACGCGCACACAGAGAAGAAATATTTAGATCATTTGCGCGTCGACATGCGGGAAAAGAGCCACAGACTTTGTATTTTTTTAATTCTGAAATAAGGAGACGGAGAGTTGAAGCTGGTGTATTCAACATTTATTTTCTGTCATTTTAAAAATGATTTGAGGACAATCAAAATATAAATACATCTCTCTCTCTCTCTCTCTCACTCACTCGTCCACACAACCCCTCGCACACACACCCCCACACACACACACACACACACACCCCCCCACACACACACACACACACACACAACCCCTGCCCCTGATTTCGAGGTCAAAAGGTGCAACAATCACCCTCCAACATCGACTGAATCATCAGAAACGTTCATAATCAGAAACTGCATCGTCACCATTCGGATAGCAGAAGCGTTTTAAACACACAGAGAAGAAATATCAGATCATTTAGCGAGTCTCTTTACAGCCGGAACACTCCCCAAAAATAATGAAGAAAACGTTGAATCTGCAAAACAGCATGAGCTTCTATCACTTCCTGGCAGTAATCTTTAAAAAACCTCCCCTGATGAAGACGCTCAAATCAAACGTGTCTTCAGATTTTGCACTTTCAGCACCAAACTGTGACATGTCTGAATAAATGTGGCACAAAAACCTCGCAGGAAGTGGACAGGAAGTGGACAGGAAGTGGACAGGAAGTGGGGACAGGAAGTGGACAGGAAGTGGACAGGAAGTGATCCGTCTCATGGTTCTGGTTTTCTTAAGCGGACAGGGAGACAGACGAGCGGGGAAACGTTCTGACTTCAGCAACATCATGAACGACGAGTCATCCAAACACGGAGTCCTGTCGACTTGGATTGATTGACAAGAGATTTACATCATCTCTGATCATGCAAATGGTGGTTTTGCAGATTTTTCTTTGTGAAATATTACTTTTTAAAATGACCTCTGAACTCTGAAAATCAATGTGTGTTTAATTTTCTGGTGTTAGTTTGATTCTCAGGTGGTTAAACTAAATCTACGTTGGATTGTTTTCCTCTTATCAAACATATTTTCCGAGTACTGCATTCAAGAATAGTGAAAGTACATACATAAAACACAAAGATACACAGTAAGCAAAAAAAAGGACATCTTGTGACGACAGGGGCGTGGCCAGGGGGCGTGGTCAGGGGGCGTGGTCAGGGGGGTGGCATTCTTGCCTGCCCAGTCTGAGACCGACATGAGACCTTCATTCTTGAGACCAAAACAGATTTTTAGTACTACAACAATACTGATTTTTAGATCAATTAAAAAGCTTTTTCGAAGCTAAAGATCCAATCAAATTCCTCCCAAGGTTAAGCCCCACCTCCTTGCTTGTTTGATTGATTCTATCTATCTAGCTGGAGATACGGGACATTAGTTGTGTCGCTTTAAGTGTCTTTGAGAGCTGCCTGTTGGATATTTATTCTTCCTTTTATTTGCATTATTTTTTTATTTTTGTAGACTTTACTTTGTTCGGCCTGACTGTCGATGTTTATTCAGTTACTGTCCTGACTTCCTTCCTTTGCTTTGTAAACACCTGTTTTAAAAGCTGCTTTATAAATTAATGTATTCCTTATTTTGTAGTCGTACTAATCCACGTTCGGCTGATTCCTGTGAAGATAAGATATTTATTCAACCATCTTTTTTAGTCCTTGATGTACGAGTGAGCACATATTCCAATGAATCATGTTAAATTTAGAAAATCATCACCGACTCTTGACCCCAATTTGAAGCACGTTCAAACCTGTAAATGTGGTTTTTTTTTTTAATCTGTTTTAAATTATAGAAGTGGTTCAGAGTATTCACTGTGTCTGATTTGTAATTAACAGCCAACCAAAAACGTGCAAAACCACCAAAAGAATAATCTTCTTAACCACCGACATCGCCCGCCTGAGTCTGTTTCTGTCCGCCTCACACCTGGGGAGGTTTAAAATACACACAAAGTGGTCGACATCAAACTGTAGAGAAAACATCTGGCTCTCATCTGGTGACTCGACACATGAGTCAGGAATAAATCCAGAGGCAGGACGACATTCACACGGCCGTCTTTTTTTTTTGTGGTTTTTTGAGGCTTCCTGCTGAGCTCCCTCTCATTTACTTTCGGATGCTGATGACGCTTTGAACGTCGAGGAGGAGCAACGTGAAAGGAGCCGGTTGTGTTATGATCCTTTTTTAAAGATTCCCCACATCCACAGACGGAATCATAAAAATACTAAACAGAAGCACATGGCTTCAGCGCAGTCCTACAGGGTTAGTGCTGTGATCCCCGCACACACACAAAGAGACAGAAGAAGAAGAACAGAAGAAGCCCTTTCACCCACATTAACAAAAAGCAGTTTTTTTTTGTTTTTTTTTTACACAGACTCTGGTTGTTTCATGTTCTCTCCGAGGCAGCGGCAGATGCTTCTGTGTCACATTTACACTCATGAATGCACAACACGGAGAGGAAGAGTCATATGAGGAGTCACATGACTGAGTCTCTGCATCGTCACATCGAGGAAAAAGTGAAAACAAGCATCACTTTGTTTTCACACTCGCGCACAAAACTCCTGAAAATGTCCAGAAATGTTCAGGGTGAGCTGCGTGTGTGAACACTAACTGGAGCTCCCTGTTAACTTGTGAGCGCAGCATATCCAGTTAAATTCACCGTGAGCGAGCGAGCGAGCGAGCTGATGACGTTTATATCCTGCAAACGTTAAGACGGCCGGTTTGATAATTTTGAACGTAGTGAAGTTACTTCGTACTCTCACCAGATGCTCTTTATCTCTCATCCTTGATACTGTGAATATATATACATATATCATACTATTTTTCGGATTCTGCGTTTCGTCGGCCATCTTGGATTTCTGTGACGTCCTTTTAATAGTCATGCCCTGCCTCCTGAGAGCTCCTCTCTCCCCATCTGACAGGGAAAACTTCACACTACAAGGGACAGGGGTGTGAATACGCGTCAAAGGAAGACCTCAGAAGCTGATAGAGCTTTCACACTTTCAGAAAACTCCTGAAAAACTCGGAGGAGGAGCTGCATGTGTGAACGCAAACAGCTGGATTTTTCCCTCGGACATTACTTAGACTTTCTCCTGCCAGACTCCCCGTATTTTTCCTGCAGCAAGTCTAAGTGAGCCTATGTGAGAACGCAGCAGGATATTCTCTGGAGAATTCACCTCGAGCCAATAGGAGGGGGGGAGTGACGTTTATATACTGTGACTGCTGCACGGTGAATAAAGTGTCTGCACGCGGCCACTACGATTTCCGTGCTCTAATTGAACAGCTGCATTATGTTTTCTGTTCTCCAGTATGTTCTTCTCCACTCTTTGGCTGATGTTGTGATTTCAGGAGTGCATTATGTGAAAATAGCTTTAGAGGTCACTTCCTGTTTGAATCTTTTTCAGTGGAGGCATCCATTTAAAAAAAACGGGCATTGGAAAGTGGCTTCATAATTTTGGAGGAGGAGCTTTTAATTTGCTTTGAATTACTGGCAGGTGAAGAAAACTTAACGATGCGGGGAGGGAAAGGCTGACTGGACGAAAGAAATCGAACCATCGTCTGCTAGTTTAGTATGCAGCTCAACTCTCGCTTTCTGGCTTCTTAAAAACACATCATTGTGTCATTTATTCAGTAGAATACTTTCCAAACTGGCACCATGATCAATTCATATTATGTAAAAAATATTTATTTATCAATTCAGCAAAGTTTATCGGTATTGATTTCTTTTTTTTTTTTTTTTTTTTTTTTTACATATCTCAAAAGGTCTAATTTAAGTGACGTACTCCTTTAAAACGGTCTCCATTGTGCCCGGGCATCCTCACCTGACGGGTCGACCACCCGTCCTCTCACCAAACATTCACAGAAGCAAACTGAGCAGCGATGATGCGGGATGAGAAACATGAGCGAGGAAAAAAAAATCGTCCTTCCATGAAAAGCATCGAGGCCGGGTCTGAGTCGATGTAAAAATCTTCTTCTCTGCTCAAATTTAATCTCCAAAAGTTTGTCTTTAACGTCTTAATTTCACTCCGACCTGTTGGCATCGATTTCCTCAGTGGAAAGCAAAAAAATCATAAGTCCCTTGAGGGTGCAAAAACACAAAAGAGGCATTTAAAAAAGTTTACTGATGTAAAACCTCTCTGTTTCTTTGTTTTCATTCAGTTTTGTCGTTTGTCTGTCAGATTGAGCGACAGATATACAAACTGCTGCCTCTGATTCCCGCCTTGTCCCTCTTCTCTCTGTCTTTGTGTCTCTGTGTCCGTGTCTTGGTCTGTGTTGCACCTTGGGAGCCAGCAGGGGGCGCTGTTAGGACGCCTTTCCCAGCTCTATCTTCTTCTGGATGACCCGAGCCGAGTGGTAGATGAGCGAGTCGATTAGACCGGCCACTGCAGGAAAAAAGAACATCAAATTCAAAGTCATTTCTTAAACATACATTTTGGAATATGTAGTGTACTTCTACCAGGTAACACAGAGAGTGAGACTGACCTGTAAAAACACCTCCGATAATGGCACAAACTCCTGTCAGGAAGTGTGTGAATGATCTAAACACAGAGAGATAGAAGAGAAAGAAAACAATATTAAAGTGTGGGAGGATATTATTCAGCAAAATACTTAAAGGAGCAATATGTAACTTTTACCCCTAGTGTTTAAAATGGGTACTGCAGTCCAAATTCTAAACATTGTCCTCTCTAGAGTCGATGCTTACGCAGGTTGCCATGTGGTGGACACTGAAGCTTTAGTGTTTAGCCAGCTCTGCATCGGTCTGTAAACCTTTCTGCGTTCTAACCTCTCTCCATTTTTTAAAAGCATCTCCAATATTGATCCTAGTTTGAGCACGTTTCTGCTCGTGGAGCTTTTTAGAAACATGTAGAGGCTTTTTAGGTCGGGTACAATCACTTCTATCTGAACCAGTTCTCTTTCCCGCTTCCATCGCTGCAACACCTGTTGGTTTGACCTGATAACTGCTCTCATATCTGACAAACCAAGGGGTGTCCAAAACGGCCGTGTGGGGGGTGTCTTAAAAGCGCCTACCTTCTCTGGTCCAAACAAATCCAGATCATTCAGGAGCAGAATCTAAAGTTAGAAGGAGGACATACTGGCTGCTGCATTGTTGTCAGAGAAGCCAGCACTTCAACATAGCATGTTTCCTTAATGTCTGATCATATAGTAAGGTCACTTTATCATTTCACTCACTACACATCTCACTGATTAGACCTTTGAAGATTTTAATCTGTTATCAACAAACACCTGGCATATTAGGGATTTGCATTTCAAACGTTCTTCCCTCTTTTTGATGTTGCCTTTTAAAGCCATTTAAACCTTTTTTCCTCTTAAAATAATCTTTTGAATTTGTAAAATCAGCGGCCCAATGAGAGGACAGTAAAGTGTAAACTGTCCTGGAGCTGCTTTGACATCGTGAACCACTCCGTTGTCTCCTACCTGTGTTTCTCTGTGAATTTCACCATCATGGGTGACAGCTCGTATAAAACAAACACGCCCGGCAGCCCCTGGTCGCCTATTAACCCGTTGGCCACTTTCTCATGTCGGGTGACTGAGAACTGGTTTGTTTTTACCACCTGCAGAAACAAACAAGACAAGAGGAGAGGGACCGCAGGTTAAAGGTTGACCGAAGAACATGGTTAGAGCAAAATGAGCTCAGTCAGCAGAAAGGAACGCTTGCTGTAGGTGCATGCATATTTGTTCTAAAAAGGAGTGACTGATGATTGTGCTACAAACAGAAAAATGTGCACTAATTAGAAAGTCTGTCTTCTCATGAAGCCAAATTTTAAAACTTAAATGGAACATTTCTTCAGACTCAAATTGCCTCTTTAACACATCTCTAGTTGGAGGAAGTTCAGGAGGTAAAAGTAAAAGTAGATTTTTTTATCGTTTGACTCACCTCTCCGTCGGTTTTCATGTAGATGGTCGGAACAATCTTCACAAAATACTGGTACATCATTGATGCTGTGGGGAGAAAAGAGAAACCTTTGTTGAGCTGAAGTATGAACGCACACACACACAGAACACACTTTAAATTAACAACCATCTACAAAACGCAGTATCTGGGGCGCCGGTGGCCTAGTGGTTAGTTAGAGTGAACAGAGGCTGTTGTCCAAGTCCAAATCTGACCTGTGGCTCCTTTCTCACATGTCATTCCCCACTCTCTCTGTCTCTACAATAAAGGCATCATAGCCTCAAAAATAAAACACGCCTGAAACAGGACAGCCAATGTGGAGTAACAGGTATAACTTAAATGCATCGTAGCGGCAGTAGCTCAGTCTGCAGGGACTTGGGTTTGGGAACCGGAGGGTCACCGCCGGTGCAGACCATCATATGGAAGATGGTCTGGTATCTGGAGAGGTGCCAGGTCACTTCCTGAGTACTGCTGAGGTGCCCTCGAGCAAGGTGCTGAACCCCCAACTGCTCTGGTGCGCTCCCTGTGTAGCAGCCCCACTCTGACATCTCTCCACTAACGCATGTCCACAGATCCCGAATGTGTGTGAGAAACATGTCTCTCAATAACAGAGTGAAATCCAGAATTTATATCATCTACAAAGACCTAATACTACTCCATCATGAGCACTAAGCAACATTTAACAAAATATCTACCACTTGAATATACAGCAATCTGATCCATAACAGCTTTTATCTCATTCAATCTGTTTGTTTGTCCTTGCTCTTTGCTGCTGTAGCATTACAAATGTCTCCACCGTGGGAGAAACAAAAGGTCTATTTAATTAAAGTGAACCAGGGGTGGGCAACTGGCAGCCCGGGGGCCACATGCAGCCCCCATCAACCCTCAACGTGGCCCTCAGGTCAACTTTTACATATCAATTAATTGGAAAGATGAAGAAAATGTGACAAAATCTGCCATGAAATCATGAAAACCAGAAATACATCCATAATAATATTTGATCACTGGTATATGTTGAGTTAAATTTGAGACATAATTGTTTTTTTGTGTTTTTTATAATTGATTCATAATTGATCGTTTTTGTATACCACAGTTTTGGCCCTTTGGCAGGGAGAATTAATTGAATGTGGCCCCTTGCTGTGACCAAAGTAGCCCATCCCTGAAGCACACTATATATCCTAATACTAAACATTCCACAGATCAAATATTATCCTTAAACAGAAAATGACCACAGGTGGCGCTGTTTGTTTCCGCCTCCCGGTTGTTATTTCCCCTCTTTGTTGCACTCCTCTGTCTTTTCCTGTTTCCGGTTATGGAGGTCTGACCAAAAGACATTTAAACGCTGCTGAGCCCCCAAAAAAAAAAAACACGACAATCGTCACCTTAGGAAATATCTAAACAGATTTAATCAAACACATACATCAAGGTAAGATCGGAATCATTAGAGGCTTGATGATTTTGTTTATTAAAAACCCGTTTTTATCGTGATCGTGTTTACCTGTCTGTGAAGGCCACAGGTGACGTTAGCCTGTTAGCTTAGCATGCTACGCTAACACAACAAACTAAAAACGCCTGAAAAGATAAAATACTTTTAAATAGTTTGCTTTTAAATCAGTTCAAATTGCTGCATTAGGTTATGAGTTAAGTTTAAATAGTGAATTAATATATAAAATTATGACTCTTAAGTTTATGTCGCACAATGTAATCAATAATCAATATTTAAACATTTTAAATAACAGACTGAATTAACTCAAAACTCTGTTTGTAGACAAAATGTTTTAATTAAGAACTTCTACTGGAGTGTCAGCTGACTGTCTTATTACCTGATAAAATAAAGAAAGGTGGATTAAAGGTCAAATGTTGGTTTAGCTTCAGTTTACATTAAATCTGAAGTTTAAATTAAATTTAAATATTTAACTGTTCAACAAATGTCTGGTTAATGTTTTACAAAGTGTGTTTTACATCTTCACAACATACTCACACTGTTTGTTGTGTTTTACTTAATTAAAAGTTAAATTATAACTTCTTCACACAGGAGTGTTTTGTGTTTTCACACACAAACACACTTTGAGGTTTTCATTATATTAAATACTTTTCCATAGCAGGTGTTTTAAAATGATGCACTCTCTGTTTTAAATATTTTATACTGAAGCTCTAAAAAAAAAAAAAACCTCAATCTGTTTTATAAGAAAGGTGCAGAGGAGAGGAGTGAACAAAAGCGTTTTTGCAATTTTCAAAGTTGGCAGCAATTTTGGTGATTCAAAACAAAAAACAAAAGACCAGATATTTGGTCCTTAGGACTTAAATTTTGTTGCTGTGGTATTGATATCATTTGGTTTTTTTCTAGGAATGTATTTAATTTGAAGCTGAAATCCGGGTACAAAGAAATTAATTAAGTGGAAAACTTCTTTAACAGAGCAGAAGAATCACCGAAGGCAAATTTAATAAAAGTGCAAAGGAGAAATTCTGGTCTCATGACAACCGTGCGTGTGTGTAGGAGTAAATCTATGGGTATTGGAGTAACACAAACATACTATATGTAAGCTCTAATATCAGCGGTGTCACTGTGTAAACATGTAACTGCCTTCTTATAAACGTTCCTCTTGTTGTCTTTCCTCTCCAGATGCCGGTGGCTGTTGGTCCTTATGGTCAGACCCAGCCCAGCTGTTTTGACCGGGTCAAAATGGGCTTCATGATGGGGTTTGCAGTAGGCATGGCTGCTGGCGCCATGTTCGGCACTTTCTCCTGTCTAAGGTTAGTCTGCACTTGGTGTGAACTACGGCCGTGCATCTTCACTAGTAGTCTAACAATTTGATTACAGTCGTTTATGTCCTGCAAAAATCCAGTTATTAAGTTCAAAGTTTGTCACTTCTTTGTACATTCATATCGAGTCCACGATGTTGTAATATCGGTGTCACAGTCTGTGAATTCACATTGCGTTCCGGCGCTGCAGAAGCAAGGCACAGCAGGTACTCCACATACACACAGACAGCGCTGAAACTCTCGCCCTATGTTACTAACTCTGAAGACGGAACAAAGGGGGGATCACTTCGTCCCCCCATTACGCCTCAGCCTCATTCAGATTGAACGCAAAACGTCACAGGGGAGTAAATATTGCGGCTTGAAGCGGCAGTACGAATTGAGTTGACGATGATTTTTATAACGATTTGATATCTTGATGCATCGTGATCGGTTGCATCCTTAATTTTCTATATTACTGCACATAGCTACTCTCTAGCTTTAGGGCCCAGAGAGACAGCCTGGAAATACTATTTGTTTTACCTGGAGGGTCATAAAGTCTGCAATTCCAAACATTATGTCAGAATTTTTCACATTCCGGCAGCTTATTCTTTACACCGTCGGATCACTTTGAGGTGGTGGTTCAATCATCCTCCATTTTTAAGCAAAATAAAAAAATCAGGCACACCTTTGTTTTTGTCTCCCAGAGACTCGTCTGAAGATCTAGGTGTGGTTGAGCACTATTATATTACTTCAAGAGTAATACTGTTTGTAATGATGTTTATGATGTATAAGTTGTAAGAGGAGCTCCAGGAGTTGGTCTATGTTTTTGTTTGAGCTGAGCACAGTGTAATGTATAATGTGTGATCGGTATAATGTGTGATCGGTATAATGTCTGTAAACGATCTGAAAAAGTAAAGAAGTTGTTGAAGTTAAACCTTCTCCATTGGGAACAACAAAGGTGTCATTCTTTCTTATAATGATGTCGTGAAATCAGCAGATACTTGACTTAAGTTACCTACTGTAGAGAATTTAAAAAAAAGGGAGGCATTTTTCAAAGTTGTAAAACTCGGCTTGTTGTGTTTTTGTCTAAACCCTGCAGGTTGATATTCGTCTGGTACCAGAATTCTGTCTCGCTTTCCAGACCTTAAAATGTCATATCATCGACTCCTCTGATTCAATAAGAGATTTGTTATTTTTGATTATATTATGTTTGTATCGCTGCTTTGAATAGATTTTAACATGCTCACATAGTCGCCTGTTTCAGTGAAGACGGGAGTGATTTAAAGAGATGCTTTAACCCGCCAGCAGGGGGCATGCTTTTGTTTTAACCACACAGAGGTCCATGTAAGTCTGGTACCAGACCTCTGCCTCACTTTACAAAATATTTAATAAGCAGCTTCTCATAATATTAAGTTTGTTAAAGACTGAACTCTGACATGATTCTTAAAGTCTTTGTTTTCCTCTAACGTAACTGATTCAGTCGTTTGCTTGGTAAAAAGATTCAAAGACTGCATCTCAAACAACGTACAGCTCAAACTGGAGACTTTCAGTCAGCTTGTTTTTAAGTACGACATGTGAGCCTGTAGGCTGCTCACTTCAGGTGACACTACATTTAATAAAGACTTTCTCTTCTGTCTCCAGGATCGGCATGCGAGGCAGGGAGCTGATGGGAGGCGTGGGGAAGACCATGATGCAGAGCGGGGGGACGTTTGGCACGTTCATGTCAATCGGTATGGGAATCCGCTGCTGAGGAAGACGAGGAACAACCTCCCCCGCCTCCACACATCTGTACAGCTATGGGACTCTTCCTGTTATTCTGTCCACGGCTCTCTGTCTGCTAGAAGCTGTCACAACTTCAACCGGCTCGTCTCATTTTGTCAATAAAAGTTCTGTTCTGTCCCACTGTTTTCAGAGTGGATCTGTTGCTCTCGGCACGCCTTTACCCCGCTCTTCAAGTTTGTTTGAATTGATGACTGAACTTAATCTGCAAAGAGAAAACTTAGACATTTGTGTTCCTCACTCTTGCAGGTGAAATGTCGTGGTCATGATTTTAACACATCACTGTTTCCCACTCAAATGATATTCAGGTGGTCAGCCCGGGTATATTTATTTCTGCCCAAGTATTATTCCAACCTAAATATTAATTATTACGTGCATGAGAGAGAGAGAGAAGGGGAGGGGGAGGGGGGAGGAGAGTCTTCTGTCTGTAAGCCAGTTGAGGTGCAACTCTCATGTCATAACTGAAGCGTCTCATGACTTCATTTGAATATTTTGCTGCTTGGTGATGATGCTGTCATGCAGTGGATGCCTGTTGTGACATCATCAATAAGTCTCCACACACGCGCATCACCTGATGTGATGACTAACTTTTCAAACTCTAAATCGGTCTTGTCTCGGTCTCAGACTGGGCGGACTCTGGATTTTAAATCAAGATAGCTCAATAAATAGATTTACTTTATTGACCCCAAACTTGGAAATTGCAGTAAAAGACCACAACTGATTATTTTTCCTTGTCATTACTGAGATTAGAAGGAAAAAGTCTCTTTCTAGAAGGAATAACTTAAATTAATTTGCAGTTTGATTTTTATCCCCCGGTTATGGCCGCAACCTTCCTGGTGTTACGGTCTAAGTGAGTGACACGCCCCCTAAACACAAGATGATGACTTTTCATTTATGTCTTGGTCTTGAGTCCAACACTAATTCAAAAAAGCCTATGCTATTACAAAATAAAAGGTTTCAGCCCCTCATGCTAACTCCACCACCCGGACACAGCATCATTCTGAGGGAAACACTTCACATCATAAACTTCATAGAGAGAATTCAAAGCGTGATGAAACGGAAGAATAGGTGAAAAATTAGCCGTGTTACTGAAAAGCTTATCGTTTGATTTCTACCTGCATCATTTAAAAAAAAATTTTTTTTATTACTTTACATTTACATTATTACTGACCTTGTTGCGCTGTGACGTCGGTCCCGTCCAGAGGGTTAACGATGCCCGGGTAGTCTCTCCCAAACGACAGGTGTTTTATCAGGTGAGTCATGTTTATCTGCAGGACGACACAGCGGATTAAAACGGGATTTTCAAGAACTCACAGGAGTCGCCAAGAGGCAGATCTTCAATCTATCAAGACAGTCATCTGCAAACATCATGTTAGTTAAACAGCTTATTTAACGTCTTAAATATATGAATAGGGACGGGAGAGGAGAACCGGTTCAGAGTTACTCACGTTGTCTAAACCGAAGCTCTGCAGGTCGTGAACTGTAAACACACAAAAAGACACAACGTGATTCATTTGTTCCTCACAGGAGCTTCAGGGTTAAACTGTAAATACACATTAAAGGAAGAGAAGTTAAAGCAAAGCGAGTTATTGGTCAGTATGTGCGGGTTTACTTCAGCTTAAAGTTTGAAAGGAAGCACATGAAGCTGAAGACGACTAGAGTTCATAAGCGAGTCACTTTTATCTCATGTTTCAAACAAAGGAAGTATTTGGTTTGATTTCAATTTAACTTTATCAATTAAAGCTCAAAATGACCTGAGAACGAGGCAGAGGACTAGGGCCAGACATGAGAAATAAATTATGATAGGAAGTTTTTTTAATTCATGCACTCCGAGGAGTCTCGAAATGTCAAGAAAATAGTTTTAATGCCTGGACCAAAAGTGAAAATGTTTAGAATAAATTGAGAAAAATAGAAAAAAATCCTGAAATGACGGAAAAAAATTTTCACAGTGTTCAAAATAAAGTAAAAATTTAAAAGAAAAAAGTCAAATGGCAGAGAAAGAGGTCAAAATATCCAGAAAAAAAACCCTCAAACTATCAAGAAAATGTTTAAAATACAGCAGGAATGTTGAGAAAAACGCTGAGAATAGAGTTGAAGAAATGTCGAGAAAAAAGTTTTATTATAAAGGAAAAAAAGGTTAAATGTTGAGAATTAACATGAAATACAAATTTTGTGAAATCTCGACTTTATTCACAAAATTGCATTCAAATTTCATTCCCTACGTCTTGACTTTATTCTCCAAGTGCATCCTGATTTAAAACTCTTCCTCCTCTCATGATTTATTCCTCACGTCCTCTAAAGGCCCGTACACACCGAGCAGACGCCAAAGAACTAGTGGCTGGTGGGTCAGGAACTTTACTTGACAGATTTTCCTAAGCAAGTCTAAATGTTTTTTCTTTTAATTCTGCATTTTGGCTGCAGCTTCACTCTGTATATAAAAAAAAACGTCCAATGAGCTGCAAACGTGAGCGTTCACCTCTGAAGTCAAACGTTAAAGGAGGCGTTCTTACATCCAGCTTCTCATGACGCAGGTGTGTAAGGACATCAAACTGTTACTCGGACTCGGCTTCACCGATTCATTAGAAAAAAACCTGAGTATGAGTGATGTGCTGGATTTTTTTCTTTCCAATGTGAAACTTCATTTTAAAAGGATTTGACAGAGAGAAGGTCGAAACTGCGGATAAATACAGTCAACAGAGTAGAAGAGGTTTTGAAACACTTCACCAGCCCGCAGCTTCAACGCCTGTATCCTCCACCGGTAGGAAAGTTTTGCAGATACACATTTTAAAGACAGTTTCTGAGTTTGGGAGAGAAAAAACATGCCGACACAATGAGACCCTTTTTTTGGGCAGAAAAGTGCCGGCTGGTCTCTCTATAGAGCTCGCATGAAGCGTTTGTTAGTTGGCTGAGAAAGAAAAGCGCTGCACGTCCGTCCTGTCTCCATGACAACAGTCTGTTGACAATGCTCGCTGTGTGACTGACACTGCTTTGTTACTTTTTACTGCATGTTTTATATTTTAGATCATTTATTTCCCGATCAGACACGGAGCGAGGAGGATGAGGGTACAAGACACGATCTGTAGGAGGCTAAAATACAGAGAATATCAAACATTTGGAAAAGAGCGCCGGTGACATCAACAGCGCCTTTCTGAAAAGTTGTCAGATTTTCAACTTGAGCGCTCGAAACAAAAGACGCTGCACTTTTTGTCCAGCTGGCCGCTTTCTGTTGCTGACGCTCTCTACTCATTGCAATTTATAAAAAGACGCTTGTGGTCAGAAAAAAACCTTCAGTGGACAAAGAACCTCACCGTACGGCTCCACTGCTTCAAGCGAGAAGGCTCGGGATTGTGACAGAGCACTCAACTCGTCGCTTGATGGGAGTACACCCACTGAAAAGGGGGCGTGTCCCAATTTTCTTCCACCCACTCTTGATAGCCAATTTAGTCGCTGTAGGTTACGCACCTGATTGGATAAATGCGCAGCTAGTCCGGGCCGTCCCCTGGACTCATTTGCATAGAATAGAGCTCTGGTCTAGTCTTGTCCAGCAAGCGTGCCGGAGCCCCTCTCGAAATGACCAACGATCCCAGCATGCACTGCACGACTGCTTCTCTGGCTCGCCATAGAAAATTGCTATGAAGTGTTTAGACGCTAATCATCAGAGGTAAATAGAAACACACCAACAGTATCTGATGGTATCGGTCTAAATTTGAGCGCCTTAACTTGTATTAAAATCGACATGAATCACGTCTTCTGAGTAGCAGCCGGGATTGTAAACAGTAAAAATGTACCCACATTATCCATAAACAGGTTTAAACTGTTGTTTAAAGGTTTTTAATATAAACAGAAATATACTGCAAATAAAGATGGACTTACTTTCCACAGCGTGCACTGCAGAAAGAAGAGAGAAGAGTCACTATCATGATGCAGGTAGACAACAAACCAGGTTATGTTCATGTGTGTGAAGGGGGAGGGGCTGCACGACACTGACAAACATTTCAAATATTCTATGAAGGATTTAAACAGTGAAGCACAAAGGCACGGCTTTATGTTTTTGTGCTCATCATTTGGTTTGTTTTTCAGTATTTAAAAGCTCCGCTGTGATTGATTTTGAAGCCGAATATCTCGTCGAGGAGGATTATCTTTTGGAGCTTTAAAAAGAGGCTTCATAGCGTCTGTCAGGGTTCGTCATGCAGCCCCGAACATGAGGCACGATGTTTAGCGCTCGATGGTTAGTCCAGATGAAAATGGAGTTCTGGATAACAATGAGGGTGAGGCCGATTTTTTGAACGACGACCTTCACAGTCTAATCCTCAGCGTTAGTGATTCTTGTCTCTTGTTTCTGTCGCTGAGCTTTGGAATAAAACGTCAAACTCAGTGAAGTCATCTTGATGAAGCTCACCTCACAGAGATGGAGACGAGAGGATCGAAGAGCAGAGAAGAAAGTACAGCTCAACGTGCGGCAACTCTGACTATTCTGACGAGCTTACAGGTTTGCATCAAAGCAGACAATTTTTTATTTAAAAAGGTCATATGTTATTCAGAACACCTAACATTTGTTTACTAAAACTAAGACATGTCCTTAGTCTGTCTACAAACTCCCCAATGATGAGAAAAGTCCATCCTCTCCATCTTTTCCCTGCTCTACTTTTCAGAGAATGTGCGCTCAAACAGGCCGTTTGGAGATTTTCCCTTCATGACATCACAAAGGGCAGCAACCCCTCCCCCAGGAGGCTGACACTCCCACAGCTAGGTGTTTGTTCTGCCCTCTGAGTCTGCCTCCTCACCGTAAACAATAGGACATGGAGCAAGAAAGACGAGTACACCCAAGCCCTTCCAGAGAGGGGGCGTGGTCAAAGTCATTTACATATTTAAAGGTACAGACACAGAAACAGCCTGTTCTGAGCAGGGCTGAAATAGAGGGGTTTACAGTCATGATCAAATGCAGGATCAGAGTGGATTTAGAACAAGACACTTCACACACATGTTTTGAGGAGCTCTGAGACTTGAGACTCTGAGGCTCTAAACTGGTTGAAGAGGAGGAGGATATGTGACCTTTAACCTGATGAGGAAACAAACCTACTGACCAAGTTAAGTAGCCAGTGTTTTATTTAAGTTAGAAGCAGCTTATTAACGGTAAGTAAGTTTAATGGCATGTATAAGTGTAAAGGCCCATCTCTGGTCTAATGTGCAAATGAGGGATACTTTGAGCAGGCAGGCGGAACTGGACTGAAGATTATAGAAATGGCAGCAACAGTGAAGACTTTACAGAAACAAGACATGACGGACAAACAAGCAGAGACAAATGCAGACAAAAAGCAACAAAAATAGAGAAAAAAGTTTTGGGTTTTTTTCACTCAAAAACCCAATTTGTAAGAGTGCTATTGGACTAGTGGTTAGTGCATGTGCGCCCCATGTATGGAGGCTATAGTCCTTTAAGGGGCCGGGGTTCAAATCCAACCTCTGTCCTATCACTTAACAAAGGCATAAAAAGCCCAGAAATTAACCTTAAAAAACCCAATTTGTCAACCTTCGTCTCTGAATTTGTTTGTGTGTTGTCTTTTATTTCATAGATATATTTATTCATTTTCTCTTTATTTTGATCTTTTTTTCCTGTTTAATACACTACAGGATGTACCTACGATCACAGGCCGTTCTAAACAATACTAGTTGGAAAGATCTGTAACGTTCAAGACTGTCATTTCAAAATAAACGAGAGAAACCGAGAAATACGCATCCAGAACTTTTTTTTGTTGTTGCTTTTTTCCGGTTTAACTGAATTCTCCCAGAACTTTGACTTTCAGATATTCAAAAATATCAAATTTTGCTTTACGAACTTCATTCAGACGAAATCTGAAAGATTAATTGTTGTTGCCTTAAAATTCTCAGCATGCAATCGGAGAATGTTTCGATGCATTATGTGAATGAAGTGAGATGTGTGGTTAGTGACAATGAAGGAACAGAGACTCAGAAACAAACATTTCTGAACACCTCTACAAAGAGCATCGATAAAGGCAGAGAGAAGACAAATGTTATGACTCCCCCTCACACTACCTCACAGTTTTTAAGATCCCAGAGGACTGCAGGATCTTTGAGGGATTGGTTAAAAGACTCATCCGGTATAAGTTAGGAAAATGTAAAGGTGCTTGTGTTTAATCGCTGAAAACATGTCCAGTGTTTAAGAGACTTCAACGAGGTGTTCAGGAACCTTGCAGCGGTCGTGTTTATGAGCTTCATGACGGGGGGCAAACAGAAGGTCTTACCGTGAACATGAGACTGCTGGAAACTCTTTCCTGGAGCAAAGTGGAAATTTCCAGCGACCTGAGATCCAAAGACAGAATCAAATGAAAAAAGTTTTTTTACACAGGATAAGACTTTTTTTAATTTTCTCTGCAGATCACCAAAATCAAGATGTTTGATAGTAGTTCAGGTAGTACCTTGTTGACCTCCAGGACACCGTAAACCTGGCAGCCTTCGTTCTTCTGCTCCTGCATCTTCTGCGAGAAGCCCTCCCTCTTACACTGCTCGATGGTGTCGGCGTTCTTAAACGCCCAGCCTCGCCGCCGGTACGCCTCTCGCACGTCATCGCAAGTGTTACAGCATCTGCACACGCACAGGGCAAGTAGACGGAGATCAACACAAGGGGACATACATTTTTTTTTTAAAAAGAAAAAAAGAGTGTTGTTAGGTCTCTTACTTTAAGTCTTCGGTCTCGGCTCCGTAGCAGCTCTCACATCTGTTTGGATCCAGAGTGCTGGGGTCAAACACTTCACCATCGTCAGCCTTACCCAGCTCTACACATTTAACACAAATTAAATTAATGAAAGAATTAGGACTCAAAAAAATCTTCCTCAGCTAACAAGATGTTTGACCCTGAAGTCTTAAACTCCCTAAAGAATACAAACCGACCTCAGTTACAAGATTAATCAAGAATGTGAAACCAAACTTGGTCTTTAGTTTAGCAGCTATAACGATTCTGCTAACTGCCAATTTCCACATAATCCATGCACGCTACAGCTAAGAGTCGTTTGCTGCCACTCAATGCTCCTGTTTCCACAGCGAGCGCAGCGGTCTGTCTCTGGAGAGGGCAGCCAGTGGGTATACACTCTGCTCCGTTTCAAATACGATTTTCAAAATAAAACACAAGATACGGACTCACGATCGTATTTTTTTAATCACTTTATCAACAGGCACCGAATGAACGACAAATCTCCCTCAGAGAAACAAAGCAACATGATGTTTGAACATTTTTCTCAAGCAAATAGAACGGACATAAAACATTTGCTGTGCTTTATGGTGGTACACTAAAAAGCTTAGTTGTGTTTTCCCCTCGTGGATTAGTTACTGAAATCGGTCTCACTGGATAATTTTTCCTTCTTTACTGACGTGTTTCTATCAGATACCTGCAGCTTGCTAAACGCTTCAGTGGAACCATAAGTTGTGGGTCGGTGTCAGGAGGTGAAATGTCAACGTGAAGTTTTTTTGTGTACCGTGTTTCTCTGCCTCGTCTGTGACGGGTTTGAAGTCTTTGTCCAGCCGCTGCTTGAACAGATTGTGTTCAACGTCCAGCTGCTGCTCACCCGCCACGTCCATCGCATCGATACTCAGATCTGAGGACAAATAAAGAGGGGGGGGGGGGGTATAAATGTCAGTACTGGAAACTAAAGACATATTAAAACTGCTGGACACAAACATGTGGTCCCTTCTTTAATGGTAATTGACAAACATGTTCTTGTAAAAGCAGAGGTTCTTACAGGCGCAGGGCATGTGGGGGAAGATGACATCGATGTTTATTTGAAGTTTGTCTCCCCTCGACGTGTCCACGTACAGCTCAGGGTGAACCTGCAGGGAAACAACAGCACACGTGAAGGTGTAGGAATCACAACAGTCCATACAGCCTGAGCTACTGTCGCCCACTAGGAACAATCTCAGAGTAAATCAGAGCAAGGAAGAGGATTACACCAACATCTGTGTATCTTGTTTTTTTTTTTTTTAAAGATGTTGCCGTGGTGATGTACAGCCATCAAACATCCTAACATCAAATGTGTGTGTTTAAATATGGAGCAGCAGAATACATGTAAGATGCTTCAAGAATAACTTTAATCTTTCTTTAAAGGATGAAGTCTTTAAAGGCAGGGTTGGTAATTTTCTAAAACCAGCATGATTTTGAAAGTAGCATTCCCTCAGGCACCGTCTGCACCCACCCCCTCCCCTGTGCGCCCTCTAAAGCCACGCCCCCCTCACTTACATGCACAAGCGCCATTAGTCCAGAAGCGGACCTTAGCTCATGCTTTGAGTGTGGGCTCGTGCACGCAAGAGTTAGAGAGCGAGCAGAGAGCCAGGGAGGGGTGTGATTGGTTCATTAGATTGGTACCTCGTGGCAGACATTGGTTAAAGTTTTTACAGACTTACAACTGATACAGATGACAGATTTTCTTTTTTCCTTTTTCAGAGAACTTGAGTTATTAATTTCTGTCAGGACCTAAAGACAATTTCAACCAAAATCTTTAAAAAGTGGCTCTGGAGGAAATTACCAACGCTGACTTTAAGTGGAAATTCTTAGAAAAGATCGTGATAGTAAGAATTTTCTCAGGATGTCAAAGTAAGCTTTGTGAAAACGGCCCTGGATGTATTTAAACTGTTTCAATCGTTCCTCCTCTCTCTTGAAATGAGGTTGGAACAAATTTTACAAACTGCAGGTCACTGATCTTTATCAGAGATGGTGTAAGACTTTCACACCGCCGACATGAAGATGGTTTCCACATACTGAAGAAATTATTTTGGTGTGGGTTTTTTTGGTGCAGAAACAAAGAACATGAGAGTCGAGATCAGTAACGCTCCAGCAGAACATCCTGAGTTAAAACCAGGACTCAGGATGACAAACTGTAAAGAATACAGCGAGTCACTGTTTGTGTAAGCAGAATCAGACTGGTCTGACAGGAACTGTTTCCTGAAAGTTTCATGTTAATCTCAGACCGCCTGCTTTATTATATCTTGCTCACTACTGCTCAGAAGATGAGCTGGCACCTCTCCAGCTACCAGACCGTTTTCCAGACTTGGTCCGCACCAGGACTTGAACTGGAGACGCTCCGCCTCCAAACCCAAGTCCCTACAGACTGAGCTATGGCCGCCCAATAGAGGAAGACGTTTAAGGACCTGCAGATACTTCAATTAATCACTCGATGTATGTTTCTGACTTATTTGATGCAGGCCCAGTCCGCACATTTTTCATCTTCCTGTGTGTTCAATCTAATTTCCGCTGCAGCTTTCACCTCACCTTCAGAAGGATATCAAACAATGGGGTCATGTAGATGAACACACCTCTTTAGTGAGATAGTACTGCAGCTCGGAGACAAACAGGATTAACATGATGACGCCGCTGATGATGGTCACTGCGGAGCAAAGAGGAAGTGTGTTTGTTAGACATCAGGAGACGGGATTCTGACCTCTGTAATAAAATGTACATTTCTACATATTAATAAAAAATATATTTCTGTATTTCTTTTGGGTCTTGTTTGAATTTAACATTATTTCTAGGGCCCGACCAATATGGGTCCCTTGGGCTGATATGATATCGATATATTGGGTAGAAAAAAATCCAATACCGTATATCGGGCCGATATCTTTCTTAGATCTATGTTGCAGCTATGTTCTAACATCTGTATATAGATATGCACTTTTATTGCATTGATCCCTCAAATACAGTTATCAAACATTTGTGGAAAAGATTTGATGGTCACTCAACTGTAAAGTAACTTTGCATGTACATCAGGGTTGGAATTTAGCACCCGCCAAATACGGCTGTTTTTTTTTTTGTTTTTTTTGCAGTGACGGGTGAATTTGCTCCACCTACCAGTCACAGTGGCGGGTATATAAAAGTAAAGTAACAGAGTGGTTTGTGACAACAGTCTCCTGCTTGTCCTTTCTGACTTCATCAGCAGAGTCAGAGGCTGTATCCGAATTGCCAAGTACCTTCTCAATCTGTCAGTAGGCAGTATGCAGTACCTATTATCCGTGCTGTATACTGTTTAGTATCTACTATTCAGTATGCACACACAGTAGGCAGATATTTCTTCGTACTTCTTCTGATTCACTCAGTATGGAAGTGACGTCATTTACGTTTCCCGAACCGGCCGCATCCACCCGTTTTGTTTTTTTTGTTTAGCTTTATTCAAGAAGAGTAATGCGCATATACAGTCAGGTAAACAAAAAACAATATCACAATGTAAATCAAGTAAAAGATTAAATAACTAAATAACATACAGTACATAAAGGAAAGTACAAATGAAAGACAATAATATACAGAATATAAAATAAACCAATAAAGACGCATTTAAATAGTGAACTCATTATTTAAATAGAGGGGGAAAGGTTTTATAATAATGCAGACATTTGTTTTATTTTCTGTTGTTAATTTAAAGTAGCGATTTCAGTCGGGACTTTAACTCTAGATTAAAAATTGATTAAATTAATCCACCTCGTTTGTTTTGATTTGAAGGCACACGAGACGTGACGATTTACGTTTAATTTTGCACAGCATTGTGGGTGGTAAAACACAATTCATTTCCTGAAAGCACGCATCCGATCCATACTGCATGAAACCCGCAAGTTAGTATCCATACTGAAATGTTCAGTATACTGAGGTGGACCCAAAATGCATACTGAATGACCACTAGGGTTCAGTATTCTGAAACTCCATACTAAAAAGTACGTACTGCATACTGAACTGTGACAATTCGGAAAAGGGCCAGCCAGTCCTAAACGAGGCCCACATGGCTCCGCCCCTCCTCGTGTCAGTGTATACAATGATAGGCTTTCAAGACTGAGAACCGACACAGCGAGAGGCTATGTGCTCAAAATTGTTTTACTCAGTGTCTCTTTAATCGAGCGCCGCATGGATGAGCACCTCTAAATAAACCAACAGGTAGGTGAAAACGTTAACTTCCAACCCTGATGTTCGAGCGAGAGAGAGTGATGACACTTGATGTAATGTAGCACACTCTGCTGGTGACAGATAACTGCTGGTGTAAAACAATGAAACTTCAATTACATGCTACTTACAGGTGAATAAATCGAGTAACACCGGCGCACATCTGCTGTAAACGTAGCCGACAGTCACCAGATAAGCTGATATCGGCCGTGATTATCGGCTGGTCGATTAATCGGTCGAATATTTTGAAGTGTAATCTTCTCTGTGATCATTAATGTTTTGTTTTAAGGATGTCCTAGTTTCAAGTTTCTTGATGCTTTAAATTCTCATGTTGCTGAAAAAGTGCTGCATAAATAAACTTGCAATGCCACCAAGGTTTGCAAACTTACAGTGAAACGTTCATTTGAGGAAAACGGGCTAAAACCGGCAAAATCAAGCGTGTTGTCCTTTTAAAACGCCTCACAGTTTGACATAATCACAGACACATCTTAAAGAAATACATCTCCATGTCTGCATTAAGTCATCTAATGAACATCTCTGTCGTTGTGTTTCTTTTTAAACCTATACTAAATGTTAAATAAGACTATTCTGCTGCCGTTCAGGCTTACAAAGTGTCTAAGGGATCCTTTTCGTACCTCAACATGTTGGGTTTAATATGATCTTTGGGGTAAAAGACAGATGATTGAGTTAGCCTTGTTGTTAGCCGCAGCAGCTAACAGCCTGTGTGTCTGAATGGCAGCTTCCTCTGTGATGAAATTAAAGCCTCTTACCGGTCGCTCCTCCCCATGTCTTCACTCGGAAATCCTCCAGAGTTTTGGGATAGGCGTCAAACTGCTTCAATTTATTTAACGTGTCCATTTTGTACACCTGAAATCCGCCGCTGAGCGCAAATGTTGCCGACAGATTCCAGCACTACAGCTACTCATCAGCCCCCCGCTTTCACTTCCGGGACACGCACAGGACGGCTCAACCAATCAGAGCAGGCCGCGTGAATTTGCCATTTTATTGGTTTAATTCAGAGACTGTAAATATGTATTTATATTTTTACAAACCGGCCGAATTACTGACCGCCCGTTTTCTAGAATTAAACCTATTCCATGTGTACTAATAATGAACTAAATGACTAAACAATAAAGAACAACAAAGAGCCGTAAATTCAATACATTTATATTTTTTTCATTCATATATTCCTAATTAAATATGGTACGGAGACCCTGAAGTCCCAAAAAGTTGACAAAAAATGTCTTGTTACTTTGTGGGACTTCAGGGGATCCGTAATATGTTGTGCTGCTTACAGAAACTTTGCTTTCACAAAGGACACCATATTTGTAGTCTTCTTATCAGCTTGGATTTAAAGTGTTTTAACGTTTAAATGAACTTCTCTTATTTGGGCTTTTAACAATTTGATGAACACGAAAGACTGGTTCAGATAATTGGTTGCACAATGACCTAGCCTTTTATGTGATCCATTCATTTACAATCTGTATTTTGTTCTTCTTCATGCAAATAATTGATTAAATATGGAGTCCTAATAACAAAGTCATGTAACAATTGGTGCTGGTTAAAAAAATCGATCATTGATGCATCGCAATTATTATTTTCCCAATTCAATATAGATTCAGGGAAATCCTGAGATTTATTTTCTTTTGTAATGATGTCCCTCTCCACTAGGGGGCACTGTGGGTGCTGTGATTTCAGATTAGCCACAATTGTGCACTTTGCATAGACCAGTAGTTTTTATCATGCCATTAAAGCACTGTTATGTTTATTACGATTTTGCTGTGCAATGAAATACATTTTTGAGTCAGTTTCTTCTAAACCTAAACAAACAATGCACACATAAATATTTAACAAATATCATTATGTGCTGTGATGAGTTATCTGGGTATTCCTGTTATCTGTTTGTATTATTAAACCGATATCGAAGCATATTGATTGAAATTGAATCTAGAGCCCGACCGATTAATTGGCCATTAATATCTGCCGATATTAGCTTATCCGATGACTATCAATATCGACTTATTTTATCACAGATATCCACCGATATTACTCGATTTATTCACCAGTCAAAAAGCATTTCATTTGGGTTTCAATGTATTTCACTAGCAGTTATCTGCCACCAGCAGAGGGCGCTAAATGGATTACAACAAACATTAACACTCTCCAGAGTGTCAGGCGGTGAAGCACGTATACATGTTGAGTTACTTTCCAGTTGAGTGACCATCTTGTCTTCATAATGAATCTTTTCCACAAGTTTTTTATAACTGCAATTGACGGATCAGCGCAATAAAAGTGCATCATTATCCATCTATCTTTCTCTACAGATTGAACATTGATCTAAGAAAGATATCTGCTGATATATCGGAATCTGATTTTTTTCCCCCCCAATATCGATATTGGCATCAGCCAAAAACATCTCATACCGGTAGCGCCCTAATCGAATCGAATCGTGACCCAAATAATTGCAATTTAATTGAATTGTGAGTTTGTGGACAGTACCCAGCTCTAATAACAACAATGACTTCATAACAATGAACTAAAAGACTAAACAATAAAGATACATTTAATACCTTAGGCCCATCAGTGTCTACTTTTAAAGCAAAACTCAAAACCTCAAACTCGGTTCTCCAAAGCATATGAATAGTTATTTTATGAATGTGTGTATGATCACTTTCGTGGTAACTGATGGTTGCTTTGTGGTGTCTATGACTTAATTGATGACATTTCTGTATGTTATAATAACAAGTATAGGCATATTTACTGAGAATAACATGTTTTCAACAAATAGCCTATCAATATCAAATAACAGAAAATCAAACGATCATTGAAAAAAAAGCTTTTAAATCTAAAGCTGTAATATTGTTAAAGGATGGATCTACATCTAAGATAGTTTTGGACTTAAGTCCAGAACCAGGATTTGTGAATAAGGTTGATGTTATTCTGGTCTGTTCTTTCGGTTTCTTCAAAGCTCTGCTCCTTAAAATAAGGAGACTTCAGCAGAAACTTTAGAAAATGAGGAAGGATTTTATTCTTGCTCTTTTATTGCACAGCTGCTCAATAGTAATAAGATGAAAAAAGGCCTACAGCAAAGGTAATGTAGACTATTATACTTTTTATTTACAGTCTTTATAGTTTGTATAGGTAGCCTGTTTGCTTTGTCACATTATTTAATTTAAAAAATGTACCTAAACAATACATGTATGGATGATAATGTTTATACAGACTAGGCTACTCTATGAACTACTATTTGAACATCCACATTTATAATATTGTAGCCTTTTATTATTATCAATGCACAGTGCACACATATTCATTTCCAGGTGTTGTTATCTAGATCATCGATTTAATCTTTCCTGCTGCACTCATCCACGCAGATGCAGGAAAACGTTCAAACTCCACACACTAAATGTAAAAGTTTACATTGTATTATACGTAAATTGTTGGAGTAGAGCCAGGACGACTTCCGCAGCTATCCTCGTTAGTATAGTGGACAGTATCTCCGCCTGTCACGCGGAAGACCGGGGTTCGATTCCCCGACGGGGAGGTTACTTTTTTTCTCCCCAAAAAAACAACGTAGTACGCCAGTGCAGTGCTACGTGTGCTACATAAACAACTGTATGTATGCAATCGTATGTGCACAACACTTGTCTGTATTTGCAAACTCAGTGCGATAGAGCCACGTGCAAACCCACCTCTAGGGCAAATTGGCAATTTACACAAGTACCTCATTATCAAGTGCAATACTCCATCACTTTATTATCCGTCACTTTACATCCTGTAGTAGACAATTCAAGCACTTTAACTCTGAAAGTCACTTTATCCTGGTTTGTTTTGAACATCCAACAGACACTTTTTATGCTTGTTTTTTACATGTTCGAAATGAAACCAAACACAGCACCTTCTTATACTTCCATGTGTTCATGGACAAAAAATTCCAGATAGTTCTTATAAATCTTCACTTTATTATTGCTTATTATGTCTTTCTTATAAAAAGGGTATGACGTCACTAATGTTATCATCAGTTTCCGTAGTGTAGTGGTTATCACGTTCGCCTCACACGCGAAAGGTCCCCGGTTCGAAACCGGGCGGAAACATGTTTTCTGTTTTTTAGTGTGATTAATTAATTAAACATAATTATTCAACGTTTCCACTGAGGTAGCAGACACAGGATATACACTTTGTCCTGATACTACTTCCTTATGTTACTCCTCACAGTGCTGTGATCTGTTTTTATGCTACTTTCTTCTTTTTATAGCGATTATGATCAAACCTTTAACTTGGTTGCACAAAGGAAAGAAGAAAGAGATCCATCTTTTTGGGAAAAGGTTGCTCTCCTTGTCATTTGAACCCCAGTCAGCACGTAGCAGTCCTTAACTTCCTTAACTTTTCCCATTCATTCTGTATGGTAGTCCTTATCACTACAGATGTGATGGCCATCACCATACAGTACCTTAATGAGGAAGAAAACAAACTTCAAAATGAGGTACGAAACAATGAACAGCATCTTGAAACTCTTGCAAGAGATAACAGTGATGTGCTTAAACAAATGGAGGACATTGACATGAAACTAACTGATTATGAGAATGAAATCAAAGATCTTAAAAAAGACAAATTCATAAGAGATGAAAAGGACTACAAGAAGGGATATGTATATCTCTAGTGCCAACATAACCAAAACTCTACAAGAAAAGTCCCCACCGCACCTGAGCAACATCCACCACGGAATCAGAAAACCTCACCTAAGGATACACAAACAAGGAGAAGACTTCCACCCACCACCCCCAACAAGAAGAAGGCCCAACACAACCCCCCAAGCAATCCTGCCCGTCCCCTTTTTTTGGACCAAAGCCATTTCCCCCCTCTGAAACCACAGAACAACAGACGTCAAAAGCAAAACGCACATGGCGGGGGAAGAGGAAGAGACCAAGGCCTGCGTCCATGGACCAGATCCCTAGTCCAGGAATGAAATCTGCTGTTGTCAACTTAAGCAAAACTGAACCGACATCCACACAGCTCTCTGTACTTGAACTTGGCCTGTCCTTTGTTCCTACTCCATCTGTAAGTCAATTTGAACGCTTCTTAGATCTGCAGAAATTTCTCAGAGATGTCAGACGTAAAGAACTTTTCATGAAAAAAGATTTCTCTCAGAATTCGGGTCCTGAAGATGTTCTTTTAAATACATTTAAACTAAAAAGCAATTTTTACACACCTAAGAATAGAAATCATTCTATAGAAACATATTGCAGACTTGTAGAACTAGAATTCGAAAACCATCTTAAAAAGAAAAGTTTTATTAACCATAACCTGACATCCTCTCAGTGTTATAGTGCTCTGAAGTCCCTAACCTGAACCCCCCAGGGTCGTTACAATTTAAGACATCACCAATTTGTAATCAAGAATTGTGTTAGGTCTGTCATTAACAGTGAAAAATTACTTTTTTTCGCTAGCTTTAAAGGTCACATATTATCCTCTTCTGACCACGCCCCCTCTCTGGAAGGGCTTGGGTGTCTCTGGCTTGACAAAAATATCATCACAACTTTATTAAACTGATTTGATAAAGGTCAAACATAAGAATTAATCCACATTTGAAATCTCCCATATTTATTGAAAATCTGTTATAATAAAGTGATAAATGCTAGGTACCAAATATTCGATTCACTATAATGCAGCTATAAAATCATAGTGAAGTATAGGGGTTAATTCATATAAACACAAAGAATGTATGTTTGGCAAACCACAAAGATTTGTGGCTTCCTGTCAGATGCAAGCGTTGAGCGGCCAGCCAAGCTCCTTCAGAAAACTACGCCTCCCATGATACCTCTTTGTAGGTCTCGGTCAGGAATCCCCACTTGTTGGGC